CCCCGTCAAAAAAAGTTCGAGCCGTACTTCATGCAATGGAGCTGGACGGCTCTCCCGGTGTAGTCCAGACATTGCTCTTTCTGACTGCTAGTCGCCTCCCGTATTCAACCGTTATACAGCCGAGAAAACCTCCACGACTTGAGCCCAAGTCAAAGTTGAGATGATGTCCAACTTTGCGTCGCGCCGGCGTGCATTGTTAAGCGATGGCATCCACGAACTGTCCAAAAACTGGCAAGGATCTCTCAATAACATTGCTGTATAATTTTGATCTTGTACGCCTCTCTGTAAAAAGAAAGTCTAATTTGAAAAAATGTGACAGAACTTTCCCGCCAACCTAATAATTTGATCATTATTTCTGGTAAAAATTCTTTATTTTTTTATGCTTTCGGTTAGCTGTAAGTGCTTTGCCTCGTCAACTAGTGAATATAGAATTGTTTCCATTAATTTTATTACCTTTCTCCCGGTATGTATGAAAAATATATTGAAATCCCAGTCCTCTTCTGTGCTCTATGCTTTGACAGGTGTATTGTGTATAGTTTGAATGTGATACTAATGTGTGTTGTAAGCTTTACTGTTTTAATTTATTCAATCTGTAAAATTAGAGTATACTGTATAGTTCTTGTATCGTCTAGTCTTAATAAATGCTTCATGAATCCAGAACTCTGCGCAGTTCTACTAAACACAATTACTGAGCCCACTTATTATTTATTTATGGACATGCATAGATGCATGTAATTTGTGAAAAGAAAAACAAACAAACATACAAAACAACCAAATTGAACAACAACAAACTAGTTCAAGCATGGACCCATAATCAAAATCAAATCACAGGAATAATCGAATATCTGATCAGCAAAATGACGTGGAAGGTTCAGGGCCAAAATAAATCAGTACTTGGTTTCAAACTTCAGCAGGAACGCTGAGTTGTGGGCGGAAGTCGGACCATGGGCGAGATCCAAACCTCCATCTTCTGCTTGCCGAGCGGCCATATTACGTTATTACGCTATCGAGGCCTCCCTTACCCTTTCAGCTAATGGCTATTTGTGCCATTGCCTTCGAGCACTCACACGTTCAACGTGATGAGCCGGTTAGCCGATATCGGCAGTGAACCGCAAGGCTGAAGGCTTTTTACAAGTTTTAAAGCTGTTATTGTTTGATAACTGCTGTTTAACGCCGCAGTGCGCGATCCGAAAGTTATCACAAGAATGCTGAGTTGTGGGCACCACGCTGAACGTGTCGAAGGTAATGGCATAAATAGTCATTGAGCTGAAAGCGTAAAAATGGCCTCGGTAGCGTAATAGGTAACGCAGCGCACGGAAGCAGAAGATGCGGGTTCGAATCCCGCCCGTGGTCCGACTTTTGCCCACAACTCAGCATTCTTGTGATAACTTTCAGATCGCGCACTGCGGCTTTAACCCGAAGAAGGCGATTCCGCCGACACGTATAGGTTGTAACACGCAATCTGTCGGAGGCTGGTGACGAGGGCGGGATGAACCCGCCTCCTCACTGCCTTGCTATACCAATAATGATCGGCTAGTGATGGATATAGGAAGAAAACAATCAGT